TCATTATGCCACCTCAATACTCTTGGTTCTTCCTTTAATATATATATAGATTATGGATTTGGTCTCTTCAGTTTACAATTTTTATCCATAATAGTCTTAAAATCAAAATAAACACAGATTTGGGACTCCTGGTTGACATTTTCACACTCATTGAGTCCCTCTCTCCAATGAAATAAAAAAAATTATGTTAACTTAGTTAAATTTGAAGGTATTTTGGTCTTTTTTCACATTTCTTATATCTTTATTCTATTTTGCTTTTTTGTATGTATGTATATATTCATACACATCATATATGAACATCTTTAAGAATACTGTCAACATCTTCATGAACACTTCAATAACACTATGAACATCTTCATAGATACAAGAACACAAGAAGATCAATGAGCATTAAAAACACAAGAACAATTTTGCTCACATTCATTCAAAAAATCTTGTGAAAGAGATCCATATAAATCAAAAATCTACATTGAATTCATAAAACAAACATTAAATCATATTAAAATATAAACCCCCTAATCGAAATTTCAGGTACAAACCCATAAATGAAATTGAAAATCCATGTACAAACCTAGAAATCGAATCACACGTTCAAACCCAAAATTGAAACTAAGACTCGAACCTAGAAACGAAACAAAACCCAAAGTCAAAACCTAGATTTGAACCGAAAAACAAAACCAAGAATTAAACCATCCCGTCGATGTGAGCTCTTCGCCACCTAGGGTTGTAGTATGTTCCCAGGGTTTGGGCTTATCACCGATAGTCTGTTCAGGGTTCCAAACTCAAAGATGGCAACTAAACACGAGGGTTGCGCTTATTGCGGGACTTAACCAAACACCTTACGACATTTTTCACCCAAGCTTCATCCTGGTCATGGATAGATCACCCAGGTTCGTGGAACAAGAAAAATTATTCAAACCCAAAATAAAAACCCTGATATGAACCTAAAAATGAAACAAAAAAAAAATTCACACCCAAAATTGAAATTGAAACCCATATTCAAACCTAAAAACGAAACTAAAAAAAGGTCCATACCCAAAATCCAAAGGGAAACCCAGATTCGAACCCAAAAACGATCCCAAAAAAAAAAGATTCAAACCTCAAATCGGAACCCATATTCAAACGCAAATATCATCGTGGTTTTTCGATTTTGTACCGTGAATTGAAGAAACGTAAAAATGAGATTCAAACCCAGAAACGAGATGCCTGGACCGTAAATCCTAGAAACGAGATGTTTGTACTGTGAAGGAGATGGAGATGCTTGGTCCCTATGTAGTTGAAGAAGGAGACGAGATGCTTGGCCTGTATAGTTCAAGGAGATGCAAATGATTGAAATTCCATGGAGATTACAAATGATTGGATTGAAATTAAGTGGAGATGATTAGTTTAGGTTTTATTTTATAATTTTATTTTTAGGTTTTGTTTTTCTTTTGAAATGAAAATAAATAAATATATGTAGATGTGTCTATATATATTTAAGAAAGATAAAATAGGATAAAGATAAAAGAAAAACTAAAATACCTTCGAATTTAATTAAGTTAATAAAATATTTTTCATTTTATTAGAAGAAGGAACTCAATAAGTGAAAAAAATATCAACCACAAATTCCAAATCTATATTTATTTTAATTTAAATATCATTATAGATAAAAAGTGTAAACCACATAATTTATCTTAAATGACGAGCAGACCATATGTGCATTGCTACAGGATACATCCAAACAAGGTATGTGATCACGGTTCACGAGAGTTCATTGCATGCAAGGCTGGCATCAATTACTCGATAATTTTCAGATCCAAATATTGAAACTATAATAATTAATTAATTTTTATTTTTCATTCTCCATAGACGAACTTGTGAATCTCTAATTTTTCTTAGAATTTAATATTTGATATAGTCGATTAAATTTATGATATTTGAATTATGAAACTATAATAATTAATATTTAATATTTGCTTGTAGGGGTTAAAGAATCCCTTTTTGAATTTGGTGCCACGTACCGACCAATGAAACTAGTTCCTGCATTCCTTCACATGCAAGGTTGGGACATGTAATACTATATATGGTGGTTAATTTGTTCACGATACATTAAAATGTGTATCACTTAGATGCAGGTTTCTATGAATAGAATAGTACTCTACTTTATCTATATAAACCCTAGGATATATCACATGCTAATCCTCACCCAACATCCCTCAAACTAAACCACATTCTGGCTATGGCTTTCAGCAAATCTTCTACTCTCTTCTTAGCCATCAACCTCCTTTTCTTTGTAGCCACAAAGGCATGCTTCACTTGCCACACTCCAACCCTCCCTGCGCCTGAAACAACAACTACCCCCAAGGGCAATTGCCCTAGGGATGCCCTGAAATTAGGGGTGTGTGCTAAGTTGCTTAATGATTCCATTGGGACTGTCATCGGGAACCCGCCAGACCATCCTTGCTGCTCAGTCCTTGGCGGCCTTCTCGACCTTGAAGCAGCAGTCTGCCTTTGCACTGCTTTGAAAGCCAATGTTCTTGGGATTAACATTAATATCCCTATCTCACTTAGCTTGCTTATTAACACTTGCGGCAAAGACCTACCCAAGGACTTCATTTGTGCCTAAAAGTGGGAGAAATTAGATGATGAAATCCCTTGGGCCCTTTTTTCCATGGAAGAGCAACATTATCCAGGACTTACATTTTTCTTAAGCCGTTTCATTTTCCATTGTGATTTCCCAGTTCCACTTTCGTAGCATTTCTTTCTCAGCTCAGTTAGATGTTTGTTGAGATTTCAATTAGGATCAATTGTTCATGTCATTGTAGTATTTTGATTCTATAAATGTATTGTACTCTTTCATTAATCAATGTGATAAATTGATTTTCTGGAGCTTGTTTATCGTTCAACAAATTAGTCAAAAATATTATAAAATTATGCACCTTTGGTTTCCAGGGGTATACAAATTTAGAAAAGCATGCATGTTTGTGAACGCTCTTTTCTACTTCCACCCATGCAAATTATAGTATGGTTTAAACACACGTACATAAATCAACAACAGGAACTTTCTTAGAAGGAAAATGTTCAGCAAAACAGTGACTTGTTCATACCTCAAATATCGTGTTTGTCTACCTAAAATTACTAGAAAAGTGACATTTGCTGCAAGAGAAATTTAGCAAGGCAAAAGTTCTAATGAAGTAAAATTAAGGAGGCGATAACGTATATTTAACAATGGTTTCCCCCCTAAATTCTCCCATGTCCGATAATTAAACTGCACATCACAGCTCCTCTCATGTCTACAGTCTAACTCCATTTTTACCCTCCATCACCCCCTCGCAATTCAGTAACTTTTATCCTAGCCCTTTCCTGTTTTGCGTCCCCCTTTTCCTTTATTCCCTTATTCCTCTTCCTTACTTTCAACATTTTCCCTCCCCCAAGCATGTATATCCATGTGCTACCAAATAGTCGTTGCCTACCGACTTAATATCAGCCTTCCAAAAGTCAAGGGTTCAAACCCTCATCTAGACGTGGAGGACTGCAGTAGATGATGTATATAAATATTATGTAATTAAGGGGCTGTTTACCCTTTTTTTTTTTTTTTTACCCGGTAAGTGCTTATTTATAAGAGACAACACTATAATTTATTTTGATGAGTAAGATTTTAGTACATCAAAACGTATTGAATGCAACAATTACCGGGTAAGCGCTTATATTGGTAAGAGTCGTAATCTTCACCTTACCGGGTAAGAATCTTCATCCTTCTCATCGCTCTTACCCGGTAAGATTCTTGGCCCTTGTCATGTTCATCCAATAAGAAAATTTATTTGGTAAGCACTTACCAAGTAAGCGTTTAGTAAACGATCCCAAAGAGTATATCAATATGCTAGTTATGTTCATATGTTCCTGGAACATCTCTCACAACCTAAAGAATCGTTTTGAATCTTTGATGAATTTGTTATGGAAGATTTTTCAGCAATCTGGGAAGACATCGAGTGCATGGTCATAGACTCATATATATATATATATATATATATATATATATATATATATGGGCTGGTTCAAATACTAACCAAAACTATTGTGCAAACTATGTTAATTCGATCTTGATCGTTCATTTTCTCATCAAACGATCCTTATTAAATGAGACTATAAAAATAATCATTAATTAATATATTAATTGAGATGCCTATGAACAACGGTTCAGATGTTACTTTTGTAAAAACATCGCATGAACACGGTGAACATTTATATGAACACGGTGAATGTTCATGGACATTACAATATGGATATGAACACCATGAACACCGTGAACATTGGAATTACCTCATGATCAATTAGAGGGATCTTAAAAGATTTGTAACTCCCAAATAATTATTAGGGAGTTACATAAAGGTCAAATTACAAAATGACCCTTGTATTCAATTTATAAGTTACATTTGAACATAAAATAAAGAAAGAATGTGATTGGTTGATATTTGATGAATATGTAATTTCATAGAAGTTTTGATTGTTTCTTAATATAAAGTATTAATCATAATTAATGAACCTTATTCATCTTCCATAAATATTTAAATCATAATAAATTAAGTCTCATTATTTCCATAAATATTTCAATTTATTAGATTGTATTGGTTGTACAAATGCGATGGGTTGCATTTGAAACAAACTATATATATATATATATATATATATATATATATATAGGGGTGGGTTCAAATAAAAATCATTCAATTTGTAAAACCCATAAAAACTTCATTCAACCAATAATAATTTTTCATTTTGTTATTTTTTGTAATTATGAGAGGCTGATTAACCATTTTTATTGTGGAGGGCGTTAATCATGGATATTGTCATCTTCATTATTTTAATTTTAGAGAAATACATGAAACAGTTTCATTAAAATTTCGTTAAATATTATATGAAACAATTTTATAACCACATATGAAACAAATTCATCAAAAAATGTATTATATGAAACAATTTCACAAGATTAAACAATTTTATGAAAAAATTGCATAAGATTAAACAATGAAATCGACGTATGATGATGGTTTGTACGGATTTTACAAATGAGAGTGGTTTTCATTTGATCGCTCATATATATATATATATATATATATATATATATATA